ATACATTCTCGGGTACTTTAGGAAAAGTGAACATCAGGATATTTGGTTTTAGAATTACAAGTGGCCGGCTCAAGCTAGGTGACCAGGGGACCATTGTGCTGGGTTCACAGTGCTGGGAAGTGTCTGAGAACTGCAGGTGCATGAGACTTTCTGTTCTGATGTCCTCCCTGCTCACCCTGTGGGCTTCCGGATGCCACCAGCTTTGCTGCCTGCAACACCGACTGACTCCTCGCAGCATCCCTGAGCAGGAGAGAGAGAAGAGGGCGGCCTTCTTTCTCTCTACTTTACAGATGGAGAAACCAAGGCACCGAGAGGTGAAGTGAGTTATCCGTGATCACAGTGGGGACCCTGAACCAGCCTGTGACATTTCCTGATCTTTCTGAGTCTAAAGAAGAGCCCCGCGGAGGTCTTCAGCTGAAACAAGCCTCCTGAGCCCACTCTAGCCTGAGGATTCCAGAGCTATGTTGAGGACGGACAAACGGACCAGATGAGTTCATCCAGTAGATGACCAGCCGCCTGTTTCCACCGTGAAAGGTGGCCGAAGGCTGCTTAGAAAGGGATGTTCACTGGGTTACCAATTGGCACCATACCAAAGGAAAATGATGTCTGTGTCCTCCTCGGTTTGAGAATGGTTTGTAGGAGAGTCCTCCGTGGAGGCAGGGGCAGAGAAGAGCTGACTGATTTCCCTTTCTTTTGGGTTGGGGTCTTGGGATTTCTGTTAGGGATTGGCAAGGGGCCGCGTCTCCTCCTGGGACCTGCATGTTGTTCTGCACGCAATGGGGCAGCCAGGGGCAGGTGTCCCTAGGTTCTGTCTGCTCATTTCCGAGGTGGTCTATTCTTAGCCCTTGATACAAGGTGTCGGCCCAGAGCAAGGGGGACTCCTGTGGTGATCCGTCTGCTGCCCTCAGGGGCTGTCATTAATAGCACTCACGACCTTTGGCTCTAGAACATTCCAGCCATGTCCTGCCAGCCAGCCAAGGAAAGGCACAGGGGGCAAGAAGCAGATGGTGCCAGGGAGAGGTGAGAGAGGCAGACAGGACCAGGCGGGCAGGAGGAGGAAGCCGCAGCTGGATCAAGGCCTCATGCTTGTCTTTTGATATTTGGCCACTAGCACAAGATGCAGCATTCTAAGTGAGAAATGAAATCTTTAAAATAATAGCTAAGAATGCGTGAGAGTTGCAGGCATTCAAATTAAGCCTCATCTTTTTCCCCCAGTGAGAGGTGTAGGAAAAAATAATCTCTGAGAGGGGAGAGTTGTCTTTTTATGTTTTTACACGTTTTGAAATCGGGACAGGCACACATTGATTTAGGATGCTCAGAGGCGGCCCTCGGACAAGCTTAGGGGTTTGCAACCTGCATGCAACTGGCCGGCCCCTGCTGCTGCCGTGTTCAGCAGCCGCCGGTCTAGGATGAGGAGAAAGGGACGCAGACTCGAGGAAGCTCCCGGGGGTTCCTCCCATTCCCACCTAGACCTTAATGAGAGCAGCGACAGTTTCCTACAGGGCGACTGCGCTGCTCTTGCCAACGGGACTAGTGATCACTAAATGTTTGCGAGTGAAATGAAGGGGGCTGCTCCCTCTATGGCCACCCCTCGGGGTCCTTCATTTCACACCTGCAGGGATTTCTCAGTCTCCCGTGAGTTCCTCCAGATTGCCCTGGTGGTGGCGGTTTCCTAGTCCACCCTGGGAGTGTCACAAAGATGTAGGCCAAACCAATTGCAATGAGCTCTCTTCCCTTTGCATCCTTCAAATTTAAATCCCACCCCCACCACCACCCTCCAAATCTGGTAGTGTTAGTTAAATATTTTTCAGTTTGGCAAAGAAATAATAGATTTTAGCTTCTTGGTAAGAAAATCAAATAAGCGTAGAAAAGGCGTGTCCCCTCTCCCCACCATTCAGCCACCATCCAGAGCTGCTGTCGCCACACATTCGAGACCTGAAAGGGCTCGCTTTGAGCAAGGAGCCACTTTCCTCGGCAAAGAAAACACTACCGTCTATGCCAAATGAATGCTAGGTGACTGTCCCCCACCCAGCCACTCCAAGAGTGCCTGGACCATGAGAACACACCCCAGCCGCATGCTCTTCTAGGATCTGATACCCTTTGCTGCACGCCACAGGCTCTTGGGCCCGCAGGCTGCAGGGAAGGAGAAGGCGAACTTCCTCCCTGAGGCACAGGAGAACCACACAGGAAGTTCAGATGTGCAGGGAGAAGCTAGGCCATGGCCCGTCCAGTGCTGCTCTAGACAAGACCTGCATCTGAGACCTTCTCTTCTGCTTCTATGACCGTGCAGTGGGAAGGCGTAAAACTGGAGGAAGAATGGAAAAAATGATACAATTTGGTGCTTTTTAAAAACCTGTAAATTTTTCTTGCTGAGAATCAGGCTTATATTGGGCCAGGGTTTGATGCCCATAGCATGAGAAGCCAACAGAATCACCCTCAGGACCTTGGGCTGGACAGGAACTGCCCTCTCTGAGTGACCGTGGGACTCAGAAGGGCCATGGCTGCTGTGGGGCTGGGTTAGAGCCACAGGGCCCAGAGAGTGTTGGGTGATCGTGTGTCTGGGAGTGGGGGTGTGGGGGATCCCCCAGGCCACAGGGAACCATCGTCTTCCGCAGCTGAGGCCATGTCACGGTGGCGGCGTGTGCAAGCAAGAGAGACGGGGCCTCTTCCATTCTGGCCCTGACCTGATTGGGGTGAACATGCGCCCCCATCGCTTCCCTGCTTCCCAGCTTGTTGGGACAAGCCTGGCCCACAGAACAAGGTGACCCTTCCAGAGACGGAGTGGAGAAGTGTGTTTGGGAGATGAGAAACTTCGGGGCAGGTGAGGCCGGCAGGGCTCAGCTGACAGATTGAAGCTTTCATAGTGTCCCTCACTGTGGCCTTAAGAGAGGACGTCTGAGATGTCACAGGCTTGTGGCAATGCACTCAGGGGACATCACTTTGACATTGTCTAAGGGGACGGAGGCTTCCTTTCCTGTGAAGGCCCAGAGAAGAGGCAGGCCTGCTCGAGCAAGAGAGAAGCAGAGCTTGAGAAATGATGCTAACAAGATTGGCTGTATTTTGGCGATGCTGCCCCATTTCTCAGAAGGAAAAGAAGAGACAAATGTCCTACGCCATTAGCGGAATGAATATGGGGTCAGTGGGAATATTTGAGGGGGATGCTCGGGAAAGAAAGGGGGATACTTTATTTTGTTCTCTAGCTCCTGGTACCGACATGAGTACCCCCTGCCAGACCTGAATACTGGAAGTTGGTTATTTTTCATCAGGGGTCCTAAGAGAGAAATGGGCCCAGAGATTTCTTTAAGAAAAAAAAACAACACATTGTGGGCATTCCTGGGAAGTAGCTGGGACGGCGAGGCCTGTCCCCGGGGGAACTTAGGCAAACGGCAGACTAAATACAGATGCCCAGTGTGGGACAAGCCACCACATCACACTGGGCACAAAGCGTGACCTGCCACAGGGCGGCCTTAAGGATCTGGGTTTTCAGGACCAAAGTCGGGCGGGCAGGGTGGGGACAGACTTCCTGGGGGGCTCCAGGCGCGGAGAGTGCGCGGAGGCCCCGAGGAAGGGGCAGGCCCCTGGGGGGGAGAAGGCCACAGGGAGGCTACGCTGGGATGACTGGGGGAGGGTTTTCTTGCCGCTGGAAACGTGGGGGCTGCAGGAGGCCGATGACGCTGCAGAGACAGAGGACAAGGCCAGGCGGGTCCTTGTCTTGCTTCCCCCTGGCCTCGGTCTCTATTTCTTTCCTAACCTTTCTTCCCTTTCCTGTCTCTCAGCAAGACTGGCTTTCCCTGTGGCTGCTCACATGTGCCTATTTTTTTTTGTTTTTGCTTCTGTTCTCAGGAAAGGTACTGGCGTGACCGCAACGGGGTGGGAATACGCTTGCAAGGGAGAAGTGTGCCCACGGTCCAACAGGGCCCAAAATAAAGGATGGCTGAACTGTCCCCTGGTCTCATTTGTTCCCAGCGGCTACAGCCCCCAGGGCCCTCCCTGAGTTGGAAGTTGTCCCAACTTTCGGCCTCCAGGTCAATTCAGCGTCAACTGCTCTCTTTGTGAGTTTCAGGTAAACGTGAACAGGTGCGGGCACGCGCATGCGCACTAGCGCGGAGTGCCGAACAGAGGTGGCGAACCACACCTGCAGCTGAGCTGAAGCCCAAGGACATGGAGCCAAGAACAGGCGAACGAGCGGAAGGGGCAGAGGTTCCAAGGGACTGCGGGGTGGGGGTGCTAGCGTGGGACGCGGCGCAGCTCTAGGCACACAAAGCCCCGGACCCGAGGCAGACAAGAGGTGGGACCCCAGCCAGCCAAAGGGGACGCCCCCCACAACGAACGGCCTCACCTTCCCAGCCTCGGCAGAGCACGCAGCGGAGCTGGGGCTGAGCCCCCCGCAGGCGGCGCATCGGAAAGAAGACGCAACTAAGGAAAGCGCCTCGCGCCGGATCCCAACTCCAAAAATCTCGCGTGGCCCATGGCCCTCCCGCCTGGTCTTCACCACGGCCTGGGTGTGCTCTGTTGTCCTGCTTCCTACGGCGGGGCTCCTCCTCCTTCCCGCCAGGCAGGCCCGAGGGGACCCCGAGTTAGGGACGGGGAGAGGATGGCACCGCAAAGTGTAGGAATGACACGTGGAATCAAGGAGATCCAAAGAAAGGAGCATTCGGTTTGACGACTGATATTTGAAACTTGTTCTTTAAAAAAAACAATAAAAGATCTAGATAAACAATGAAGGGGGTGGGGAGGACCTCTTTGTATAATAATTTTTTAAAAAGAAACCCCACGAACATAAAAAAAATTCTTCAGTTTTTGAACTTAAGAATAGTCTGATGTGAGGTCTTGCACCCTAAATAGTTATATTTGGAATTTTTTAAAAAATCGCAACTACACACAACAAAGACTAACAGTATTTACTTAAAAATATTGTGTGTGTGTGTGTGTGTGTGTATATATATATATATATATATACTTATATATATATCTTTTTTGTGATTTTTTTTTTCTTTTCCTTTTTTTTTTTTTGTGCCCAAGTAGAGAGATACAATGGGATTGAAATGATGCCCTAGAACAGAAATATTCTTTAAAGGAGCAATGCTTCGAGAAATAAAAACTTTAAAAATGGTTAAACATACTCGCAACACCTCCAGAAATTCAACTTGGTACAATGAGAAAGTAAAGAGTTGAGTCAAATCCTCACCCAAACAACACGGCCGCTAAGACCCCGGGATCTGCTGCTGGTGTGAGTGTCGCCACACACTCGGGCTGGCGGGCAGATGCCCTCCCATCCTCCCCTCCCTGGCCCCCGCCCCTCCTAACACCACT